AAGGAAAAGTAAGAAATTAAGACAAAGAAAAAAAAGATAGCTGCTATTTTGCCAGTCATTTTCAGACTAAATGAAGTGAAAACATGTAATATTACTGTCATGAGATACTGAGCTTTACAAACTATTTTTAACTGAGTTGCTTTTTGAAAAGAGATTTTCAAGTTATATTCGACCTGAAAATCCATTGTATTCACTTAGAAGGCAAAGCAATATTTTCACGTTTGATAGGCTCAACAATGTTCGTAAACTTTATCTTTGATTTTTAGTTCTCACAAATTTATATTATTATTGCAGTATATCACACACAGTTAGACAATGTGTAATATGAAGATGTGGGTGTAATTTTAGTTGTGCAGAAGCATTAACAAATAACATTTTAAATACACAATGTGCTGCAACTCTTCACACAAGACAGGGTTATACAGCATGGGCAGGATATAATTTAAATGCTGCTGAATGCAATTCATACGATATATTTAATGGTGTATGTTCGTCTGGAAGTTGTTGTTCAGATTTATATCCTGATTCTGTTTGTTGTCCCGTACCTGATCCTAAAAAACAAGGATGTTGTCCTTCTACACATACAGTCTGTTGTCCGGCATCTTATCTAGATTATTGTTATTCTTCAGGATATCCCGTATGTTGTGGCTACGGTTGTTGTCCATCAGGAACATATTGCTGTGGAAATAATCAATGTTGTCGTCAGATCAGTAGTAATGGTAAAGCATTGAACCAAGTTGTTACACAAGCTACATTGAATGCTAAACATTTAATTTGATTATTTTAAATGAATATTAATCAAGCATTTTAAACTTTTTTGTATCTTTCGCGAGTAACTTCTTAATTTCAAATATATCTAAACAATTCCCTTCGAATTCAAAATTTGGTACTACTGTGTTGTCATCATATTCTCACTCTCATACAATTTGTACAGTTATGTGTGTAGTGGCGTCATCAGAAAAAAAACGAGTCGCTGGGCAATGTCCTAACAATTTTCAAAAATTTATTTAAGATCATTCTCAGTGATTCTTTTCCATAGAACAAGGATGCAGTACTACATTTAACTTGATTCCAATAGATAAATTATGATCGATAATGCATGTAACTGACTAAACACCTTTATATGAATTTTGGATGCAAATAGGAGAGAATGTGAATGTCTTGTATTTTGCTGACTTTATCGTTTAAAAACAATTGTTTTTTTTGTCACTAGTTGAGCCAATCGTCCTGGTGGTTAGACAGCACCCAACCTAGCCCTATCCTGATGATAGATCTATGGGTGTGGGGTGTGAATGTGAGTGATGTGTGGGTGTGGCCTAATGGCAGTAGAACTCACAACCTAGAGTATTATTTTAAAAACTGTAGGGTATTTCAGGGTAAACTTTTCATTATGCCAATCTGATCTGTTTAAACGCCCGACGTCTGGCAATTTCTACTATAGAACAATATCTTCTATTCATAGGGGAATAATGAGAAAACACCTATTGGCTGATTACTTCGAGTCATTCCTTAATAAGTGACAAAAGCTGTTCATGTCTTTCTTTTTTGTTCGCTGATATTGTTTTTAATATTCATGGTCCATGTAAAGCTCCCGACACATTAGAAGACCCGGGATCTTCTATTCTGTCTTATCGTTCACAAGTTACGGTGGGTGTCTTCTATTATGTCCCTTGAAAATGCCATATTTTTTGGTAATCTCAATGAAAGTTTTTAATTTCAATCCGTTTATGTTCAATACAGAGTTAGTAAATAAGTTTTTGTTACTTATCTGTATTTGTATGATAAAAATGAAACACAATATATCAGCGCAAAAAAAAAAAGAAAACAAATCATTGATAAGAAGAATGTTCTTCGAATAATGCAATAAATTATACACGATAATCTGTATACGATTTATGATAGCACTATTTTCAAACAATAATACAGATCACTCGCAACATTTATTGTTCCTTACAAATAAATTGTCCAAAGAAAGAAATTAAAATTTTCTTAATCAATGTCTTGTAAGTCAGCGAATTATGTCTATCTTTGATTAGTGTAGATGACAGCCAGTCAAACTGGAATGTATCACGAGCTATATTATTAATTTTTAGCTCACTTGAATAAATAAGAGTGACAACGACTAACCAATTTATAGAAAAAAGAGCGATTGAATACACATTGTCCGATGCTTTTAGACTCCTTTGCGTCTCTGTCGAAAATGACTTTCGCTTTTGTTGCGACTAAAAATTTGTTCTCAGACCTACAAGGTATACCTCATAGAACACGTCCGAATTCATAGTCTCAAAGACACGCTTCTCCAGTTAAGAATATGGTCTTCCGTGTCAAAAACGTGCCAGAAACTCTAGAAAAAAGTACATAGACGGAGCGTAGTTTCAAATAATAGACAAATGAATCTTACAGAATGTTTCTATTTGAGAAAGATCTCTTCATGTATGACACGTTTGGACACGTATCGTGTTAATCATGTCCTATAACTAAAGTATGATCGTTTTAGTTCAAAAAGCGTAAAAGAACTCTTCAGAGCATGCTCTCTACCCATACAAGACCGTTAAAATAACTCGTAAAAACGTCATTATCTCATCCCTTGTATGCTTGTGTGCAGAGCAGTATTAAAATGCTCGCAGAGCATGTATTTTAATTAAAAAAACTCAGCTTTATTTAACCATTCTTTCCTATTATTATTTTCTCATGATTGTTTCCACTCGCAGCTGACACCACTAAACCAGCGAAATCAAAATATTGGTTCTACTGAGGACAGATGTTAGCATACGTATTTACGTAAATGCTAAAATATTGCTACATTGCAGAAATCAGTAAAAAACTAATTGTCAAAGGAGGGGGGGGGGGGTCTTCTGATGTGTCGAGGGCTTTAGTACTATTTCTCTGATTTTCATATTACCTGTGATATTCTTTATATACTATTCTTGACATTTGTAAACTTTAACTTCATCATTTCATCAATAAATAATGAAAGGGTGTGGGTGTGGGTAGTCTGCGTGCGGGTGTGAACAGAAACAAATCCACACCAACACCCACACCCTATTTTTGTGTAAAAAAAGTTATTTTAATTATGAAAAATCTATTTCAAAATAGAGTGCATCTCATTGTTTTATAATTCAATCAATAATACAAATAGTTTTAATTAAATAAATATAATTTTTATAGGAAAAAAGCAGTTCATATTGCACTATTAACAATGATGAAAATAAAATCAACTGAAATTCGTGATGCTATCAATTTATACCTGTACCATTACGTGATACATTAATGAAATATGTTTATAAAGATTTTGAAAATCCAAAAGATTATTCAAGTAGTGCTTTATTACTGTAGTATGAAAAGGTATTTTAGTATATTTCGAAAAGCAAAAGTTTTTTATTTATTTTATTAAAAGTTCTTGCAGTTAGTGGTTTCAGTTCGATTGCACGTATACTTACTGATCGGCGAGCTTTATAAATTGTTTTAATGCTCTCTATTTTGTTGTTGTCTGATTTTTTTTAGAAATCAGTTATATTTGACTATTATAATCATCTTATTGCGCATATGAACAAGGTTTTTTCCTAGGCGAAATTGTATAAGTGTATCTGTAACTTCTAGATAACATGTTATCAAAAATTTCTAACATTATCACCAAAAAAAGTGGTTTTTATTTAGTACCAAACGAAATTTTACCACCAATACCTGAAATATAACAAAATGAAATTGGTTTAATGAATTTATTTAGTCAACACACAAGTGTATCATTATCGATTAATGAAAATGGTATACCTGATGTACATATTGGCATGAAAATAATATTGAATAAATTTGCACTGGAAGATAATTCTTATGAACAGTNGAGGTGTTGAAGGGTGGTATGATAAATAGAATGAGACAAAATATTTGGCTCCATTACTTACGTAGAAAAACTAGATAGGTTTGGAAAATCGACGTATACGTGGTGCACTCGACGCAATTCGAAGCGCTACCACCATTAGAGTTTTGCATCTTTGGCCGATTTAACAATTTGTTTCTACTCAGTTTTTCATGCTGAATCTGAAAAAATTATTTTCAGAAGCTAAAAAAAGAGCAAAGTAGGAAATTTTACACATTTTTGAAAAGATGTCGTTTTTCTCAAAAACTGATATCCCTCAAGTATTTCGTATTTTTCGATCGGAAGGAAGCATTTGCTGAGGCTAAAAAGTAGATTTTCGTGATCAGCAGCTCTCGCTCTATCAAATAATGTGGAAAAAAAGGCAAAAAAAATTTTACTCGAAGTTTGAATTGCCTGCACCTTACTATCAATGGCAGACTTTTTTTGTAATCGAAATGATCAGCGTAAAAGTTCTATCAAATGATGATATTTGAAGACCAATCGGAGATTACACATATTACGTCAGGAGGAACTCTATAGAATTACCCAAATATTTTATAAAATGTAGCTCTGTGAAAAGTTCAGCTGGCAATAAAGATCTTGCTTCACTTGACAGTTATTTTCAAGTCATGAGAAGTATCAAGTTAAAAATAAGTTACATCAAGACCAATTCATTTTTGATATGACTTATCCAATATTTAAGCTGAAAAATTTGATGAACTATATATATAGTAGTTCTCCTTTACTTTCAATAGTTTTTAATCACACATTTCTAAAGGAAGCCAAAAAAGTATTGCCGAAATATAGCAGAAATATGACAATAAGGAAGTTTCTTATCAATCACGTTAGCTGTTTTCCCCATATGAATCATTAGTGACTGTCAATACTATGTTAATCCTAGTTGCAAATAGCTCATCGACTGATGTGTGGAAATTTTCTTTATGACTGGTCTACACTTCTTTGTTCTTTTTAGAAAATTTATCATGTTCACATATAATCGTTGACTGTTCCTTTAACTATATGTGAGAGTACTAGATCCATAGCAGAGATCGGTGAGTCAGCCAAAACTGCGACTCGCCACCGCCTTGTCATATTGACAATGTGTCTATTGCTGCCTCGCCTCGTCTCACCTACGGACTATTATAAAAACGGTTTTTTTAAAGAATTTCTTCGGCTGACCGCAATGATCATTATGTAGCTTATTTCTTTTCTTGAAGTGAAGTACATTTCATATATATATAGATAAGTGCAAAAAATAAAAATACAAAATGAGATGTAAATAAGTCATGTTGTGATAATGGTTCAAGGAGTTTTTGTCGAAATTGAGATCTATATTTTTAATTTTGTCATCGCAACATCTTAATTATCAGTGACAGCTGGAAAAGCAAACCGAAACTGACAACTTGTCGTATATTTCTTTCTATTTTCAACTATGGTTAAATTTCCGTCTGTGCGCATGAATCAATTATAAATCGTTCTACAGGGCTTTCGAGAAATATCTGATACTTAGGACGTATCAAAGGTTCGTATCCCACCATTTAAAAAAGCTTGTCGAATGGGGTGAACCGATTCAGAAATAAGAAACAAATATATCATGTTGCAGAGCTTTTCGAGCCTCATCGAATGGTATATAGTAAATTCTGTTTTCATAGAACTTTGAAGGACCTAGAGTCAATTTACTAATGGACCACTACACATTCACACCCATCCATATCCGTGCCCATACACCAGGACCATAAATTAATGATTATTGTGGCTCTTGTTATTAATTGAAAGCATTTGTAAAATATTGTTTTTCGCATGCGACTTTGTAGAGCTTTTGACGGGCTACAACCTCATCTACGTACCATCTCCCGTCATCTTGTGAATGTGCACGTGAGTATGGATGGGTATAAATGTGTAGTTGGTCATCAGTAAATTCACCCTAGGTCCTTCAAAGTTCTAGGAAAACAGAATTTACTATATACCATTCAATGTGACTCGAAAAGGTCTACAACATGATATATTTGTTTCTTATTTCTGAATCGGTTCACCCCATCCGACAAGCTTCTTTAAATGGTGGATACGAATTTTGGGTACATCCTAAGTAATGTATGATCAATATTGCGAGAATCTGAACAAGTTTCTTGTGTTACATCGATAATATTATTATAAGCAGAATAATAGCTTGTCGAGCAATAATACGTATCTAGATTAAAATATTTATCGTAAAAATTTCCATTACCAAACATAACAGAGGTCATATTAGTTAAATTCACAATGGTAATTGTATAAGGCTTCAAATAGGCTCACTTAATTTGAAGTCAATTAACCAATGTTATTGACTTCATTACATGTTAGTATCAATCATGTTTCTCAATTCATTTTGAATTAAGTCAGTCTGTTTGGGACCTAAATCAAATTGTTCGACAGACCAAAAATAGATAATTATGTTTGCGTGAATATTCATACTCATTTATTGTTGTGATTAGTTTTAACTTCGTCACCAATAGAAATTCTTTAAGAAGTGAACAATAAAATCAGGAGATAACACTCATGGTCTGCCATTGACTCACTAACAATTACATTCTAAGTAGACGAGTTGACTCAGCGAGTCTCGAAATCAACTTTTACTCGTCACGGTACGTAAAATCCTGGTTCGTCTCCTCACAAGGTGAGGCGAAGAAACTCCACGAGTCTGTGATCTCTGGTCTATAGCTCTTTATTCACACAGAGTATGCATGATGGCATAGTTCCTTTCAGTAAAGGGTTAGCGACGTTTGCGTCGCGTTACTTGTTTGTTTACAGAAAAATGAGGTGAAATAAAAAAAGAATGAATACTTTTTCTCTGCATATTGTCAAGTTAGACTCGATTTGGACCTAGTTATACGATGGCAAATTACTCTTGAATAAGTAAGAAAAAGCAAGGTTAGTTTTATTCTATAGAGAATTTGAAAAATGTTACATGTTAATAGACGGTGATTGTGTAAACGGAGAAAGACGATATTGATAAAGCTGAGTAGGTTTATAGTCATATAATTGATGGTGATAAACTTATCTTTTTTTCTGTTTGCAATGTTAAATTGAATCTTTCATTTTACTACTTTTTTTCGAATAAATAACGAAATCAATAGATTTGATGGCTAGAGTCGAAACCAATGATACTATAACTGAATTAATACATCAACTTAAATCAGGTGCAGTTTTAGTAAAACATAAAAATAATGGAAAGAAATATTCTCGCCAATTTTTCCTTCACGAACGTGAAGGTTACCTAACGTATCATAAATCACGTAAATTAAAGCGTAAACCACGAATATGTAAGTTTAAATTTAAGAATTTTTTATAATATAAAATTTGATTTTGTTTTATTTAGATCACTTACATGATATTGATGAAATCAGAACAGGTTTTGACACACACATATTTGATGAACTTTTTAAACGTCGTAAAATCAAATCAACTGATGTAAAGAAATCTAAACATTTAATTCATTTATTTTGTGTTTTCTGGATACGTTTAATTTATTTAGCAAGATCGTGCGTTTTCAATTATATATGATAATCATCGAAAAGGAGCACATCTTCTTGCACCTGATATGAAAACACGAGATTTATGGGTAAAAGGTTTACAGCATTTGATCAGTCAACGTTTAAATAAACGCCAACATAATCTGATTGCAGATGAAAAGTAAAAAAAACAAAAAGAGAGAAAATTTTTCTTAAGATACTCTTGATCTTTATTATAGTTGGGTTTTAGAATTTTTTCATGCGGCTGATAAAGATAAATCAAACAAGTTATCAAAAAAAGAGTGTCGAAATTTACTTGCAACTTCTTTAAATGTTGAAATGCCTGATGATGTGTTTAAACAAATGTTTGATGTAAAATTTGTCTTTTGTTTTGTTGAAATAACATTATTATTATTACTTCTAGTCAGTGCATAAAGCTCAACGTGGTGTTTTGAGTTCTGCTGAATTTTTAACTTTTTTTAAAATGTTAACACTTCGTACAGACCTTTATAAAATAATGAAAAAGTAATCTTTAAGTAAAATCATTCAATATTATTTATATCTTTTTGAATAGATTTGTAAAAATTGAATCTCAACAAGCAATGGATAAAATTTGTATGGATCAACATGAATTATTAAATTTCCTTCGGTTAACAAGAAATGATAATGTATGTTAAATTTATTATTTTATTTTTGAATTTTTTTAACAATGAATTCAACTATTTAATAGATGAAACATATCGATAGTTTACTGGAAGCACAGAAATTAATTGATGAATTTGAAATGAATCATGAATTCAAACAAAAAGGTTTTTTAAGTCTTGATGGTATGTTTACATTTTTTTCATGAATATTCAAAAAACAGCAAAAAAAAAAACTTTGAATTCCTATCAAGGTTTTCGAAATATGTTATTATCAAAACAGTTCGATATTACAGAATCGCCATCTTCTCATACAATATATCAAGATATGACAAAGTATAGATACTCGAGATGAAATATATACAAATATTAATTTGTTGTTCTTAGGCCATTTTGTGATTATTATATCAATACTTCTCATAATACGTATGAATTTTAAAAAAAAGAAAAAAAAAACAAGATTCGTTTGTTTTATTCTTAAATCTAATTTTTATATTATAGTTATTTATTCTACAGTCAAGTATCTGGTGATAGTAATCCTGAAGCTTATAATCGAGTATTATTGATGGGTTGTCGAGCAGTTGAATTTGATTGTTATGATGGCAATGATGGTAAACCAATAGTTAAACATGGTTTTACACTTGTAAATCCATGTTCCTTTGAATCGATTATTTGTCGTATAAAACCAAATCTTTTCAAAGCTTCTCCGTATGTATTAAGAATATTCATATTTTCATTTAACTGATTGTTCGAATATCTTTGCACAAAGAATGAAAAATAACTATTTATTAAAAATATAATTTTATATTCTTTTTTAATCCATACCAAAAGTATTTATCTACTTTCAAGTTGATTAGCATCATACACTTCGAGTTCGGCGATGTTCAATAAACTTATCTAGGCAAAACCGATAAGTTAAGAACTAATAAGTTTGAATTAACCTATTAATGTATAAGAAAAATTTATTACTTTTCCTATGTTAATAATTTTCGAGAAGAATTAAATTTTTCAAAAAAAAAATTCATATGCGCATTCATCCTATTCTCACGATCTCAATAATCGTTTTCTCATTTCGAAATGATGTATATAAAGAATGACTAGCTGCATTGATTGGTGACTGACACAGTGAGACAGAAGTAATCAATTACTTTTCAATCAATGGAACATTTCAAAAACAAAAAAATACAAAATTCTAATCCTAACCATTATCTTATTTATGTATTAGTTATCCAGTTATTTTCAATATTGAAAATCATTGTTCACCAGAACAACAAATAGAAATGGCTCGGATTCTAAAACATTATCTTGGGGGTAAGATAATCATTTTGATACATATAACACTCATTTCCATATAGACTGTTTGGTAACAAAACATTTACCTGATAAAAATCCATCAGTTTTACCATCACCAGAAGATTTAAAATATCGAGTTCTTGTTCGTGTAAGTATATTATCACTAATGTTCCGTACGAGTACGACTTTTTGTATCCGAGCCTGATTTGAACCCGGAGAGCTGTATCCAGTCTTGAAATAGTTAATATTTAACTGGTATTGTCAAAGTTATATATATACTTTTCAAACTTCTATTTCATATTAAAAAATATACTAATGTTTTGATTTCATCAATTATCAAGCACAACAAAGCAATCATCTAAAATTTATCAAAGAAAAAAAAAGAAGTGAATCAAGAGACTCAGGATTCGATTGCTGTTGTTGTGCTTCTAGAATTCTTTTAGTTTCATTAAAATTTTGCTTACTAAATGCTGATAATACGGAAACACTAAGTATTGATAATGCTAAACGTGAAAATTGAGAATGTGTACAGGAATGTTTTTTCTTTCATTATATAGATTTTCTCCTTCGTCATGATTCACTTTGCTTTTCATATGCTCAGGCATTGATGAATCATGCTCGAATCAATCTGATATCTTGATAATTAACAATTAACGATCCTCTGAAGCAAAAGATTTTTACATGTTCAGATGTCACTGATTGCCGGGTCGGGTGCCGAGTATGCTCTACGGCTGTATTCCACCCGACTCGGATACTAGGTATTCGAACCATAAATTGGGTCAGGTCGAATGCCAGGTATTCGACCTGATTGCAGGATACTAATTATCATTTACATACGAATATATGATTGTCTCTGCGTATTTTTTTTTAGAGTGTACCACCAACATCAAAAAAATCAAATGTTAAATTTCAACAAGATGATCAAGATTACTCAAGGAATTCATCAAAAGATGTATGTTATTATTTACATATGGATTCGCACTGAAAGTTTTCAAAACAACTATTTGTAGAAATTGTTTTTGATAAAAATATAACTAAATTGAAATTCGTTTCTTCTCTATTCTTACAATGATTTTATTTTTCTACTTTAATTGAATCTCTACTTTTGTATCTTATGAAAAGTATGTAGTAACAATTTTTGGAAAGAAAAAAACAAGATTACGATTTAAAAAAAAAGGAATTTATTAAAAACCGAAACATATTAGCCTTAACAAAGTATTTTTGAAAAAAAATCCCTTGATTAAATGATTTTACTAGGTTCATAGTGTTGATAGTTTAAAAGTTTTTTTTTAAACAATGATAACTATTATTTAACATTGTAGGATGTTGAACCAGAATTATCTGAATTATTTGTTTATTTTATGAATGTTCGTTATAAAGATAATAATTATGCTAAAAATAATTGTAAGTGATTTAATTATTCTTGTTAATTTTCATTTGTAAAATTGAAAATTCAAAGATACACCCTTTCATTCATCATCTTTGGCTGAAAAAACTTTTCTCAAACATGCAGAAGAAAATCCACTTGATTTAATTTTACAAACAACATGGCGTCTTCTTCGTGTATATCCTGATGGTTTAAGACAAGATTCAAGTAATTTAGATCCTGTAATTTCGTGGAATTTTGGTATACAAATGGCTGCTTTAAATTATCAAACTGATGATGACATGGTTGCATTATGCTATGGAAAATTTCGTGATAATGGTTGTTGTGGTTATATACTTAAACCAGATTATTTAATTAATGCGCAAAAAACAAAATTTAATCCATGGGATTGTCCATCTAATTTTGATGAACCTTTAATTTTAAAAATAACAATAATAAGTGGACAATTTTTACCACGATCACATGCTGAATCTAAAGATATACCTGATCCATATGTAAAAGTATCAATACATGGTTTATCATATGATCAACATACAGAAAAAACACAATTCATTGAAAATAATGGTTTTAATCCTATATGGGATGAAACATTTGAATTTCGTATAAGATATCCTCAAATGGCTCTTATTTACTTTACTGTTCTGGATTATGATCCAATGTCGGACGATGATAGACTTGCCTATTTTAGTGCACCAGTGACAATGATACAACAAGGTAAGACATACCAAACAAATTTTTTTATTTACAGAAAAAGCAAGAAAGAAAAACGACTTTGTTCATGGATATTTTACTGTTATTCTCAACAGAGTATTCAGAAAATCATTGATCAAATAGTTTTGTCATAGACATTTGCTGTTTCAGTTATAAAAGTTTCTTTTGCTTTAAATTAGGTGCGAGTGTACTGAATTTTTATTTATATAAGTGATTTTCGATACTATTCTGCAAAATCATGACATTTATTAATTGCAATACAAAAATTTTGCTATTTTGATAAGATACACACAGAACATTATACAGCGTCTTCTTTCTTTTTAATTGTGTAGAACTCTACAAGTCTTAATTAATCACATGAAAATATCAAAGATAAAAACATTATCAACTTTTTGAATTACTTGTATCTTATAAAAGTAGGAAAATTTTTGTATTTCAATCAAAGATAATAGCCTTGATAACATCAAATAAAATAGTAAAGATATATGAAAACAAACTTTTAGTCCATGAATTTTTTTAGAAATCATGTAGAAAATCTTTGACGATCATAATTCGTTCATAAATAGAAAATATTTAATCTAGTGTAAAATACTGATTTCTAGTCAATTTTCTCTAAAAATGCTTGTAAATTTGTGTTCATTGAATGTTTCATTATTACATGCAAAAGCTATGAAATGATTCTGCACAAGTCAGTAACAACAGTTTTTCTATTCTATCTATGTTGCATATCCATAGATTTATTTCTCAGAGTATCATACCTATTTGTTTGTCAGAAGAATGGGATTTGAATAAAACATGCCATTCGTACGCATCATTTCATTTTTCATGATTTTGCTCATTTATTTTTTTTCTTCTTTTTCTTTTAAATCTAGGTTATCGTCATATTTATTTGAGAAGTAATAACAATGATGAAACGCATTCAACTTTATTCGTTAATATTATCATTCAAAAAGATCAGAAACATGGTGCCGAGCATATAATTCGTACACGTTTTTAAATCTTTTCTCTTTTTTGTATTCTTTTAATAATTGCTATATTCAGTTTTTTTTCAAAACGATTAGAAATTTATAGACATCCTCGTTTATTTATATTTTGATCAAGATCTTTTGTTTCCATAGAAATTCAAAATGTTTTTTTATGACTTAGCAATAAAACACACAAAAACAAAAAAAACAAATATCTTTCAGCGAATATAGGAGTTGGTGTTTGAACATGTGGGTGTGGGTGGGTGTGGGTGTGTGGGTGTGGGTGTGGGGTGTGGGTGTGTGTATGTGTGGATGTGGGTGGGTGTCGGTGTCGGGTGTGGGTGTGTATAGGTTAGTCATTCTCACCCCGCACACCCACACCCCACACCCATACCCCACACCCCCACCCCCCACCCACACCCCACACCCACACCCCCCACCCCCACCCTAGATTTCATGTTTCCGTTCCTTTTC